ATGCTCATCAGTCAACATCATCCTATATTCGTGGAAAATTTTTCTCTTCCTTCAATCTAAAATGCCTTTTCTCAGCACTCTTGAACATTAATTTTCTAAGTATACAGTAAGCTCAAGTCGGCTGTCTATGTTGTTATGCTGGGTATTTATGCAGAGACTATGGCCCTTGACAAGCGATGTAAATATATATTTCCTGTAAATCAAATGACCAAGTGGTAAAATTAGCACTCTGTGAATTCTTCATATGTACGTCTAATCATAATTATCACAAGGAACTATGCTGGGTGGTTAAAAAAAAGTGCATTGCATAAAGTAGGTCATTAAAAGATGCAACACGTACATTTTCAAATTAAAATAATTTGAGAGGGACGCAGACTTATTGGAAGGATGCTAGAGTTTTGTCTTCATTACATCTGTGTTGAATCCCGTGTTTGACCCAGCTCGACCTCTGTGCGAAGCAGGCTGGGCAGCAGAGAGGAGTTAGGCTGCCATCAGAGGATGTGGTCATGATCCAGCTCCTGTCAATCGTCAGCTGTGTTATTTTGGTGTAAGACTTCTTCAGTTGGCATAGAAGTTACCACTAGTAGATGCCTAACATGTTCCTGAAACTTCCTTAGGCATTTATTGGCCTCATGTCACTTAATCTTCATATTAATGATGTGTCATTCTTCCCATTCTAGAATAATGAGAAGAATAAATTGAGTAAGAGGAGTTGTGGGATTTTCTTGGGGTCAGACCTCAGGTGAGTAGCACGCAGAAGACAAACTCCGTTTTACTTGTCTCCACAGCCTGAGGAACTAACCACTGTAAAATACCGCCTCTCAAAAACTTATGGAATGAGGAACGTGTATATCATATATTTATTTTCTTTTAGAATTTGCAATATCTGATATAAATGTTATTGTTAAAAGGGCAGGTATGTAAGTTCGTTTTTTTTTTTTTTTGTTTGTTTTTTTTTTTTACTTTTCAGATAAAGGCAACGTAGATGATGGATGAGCTTGGTAACAAACAACTAAAACTGAATAGCCCAGATACAGCATTTTTTTAGCTCATAATTTTGTGAGTTAGTGGATTTGGGCTATGCTCAGCTGGACTGTTCTTCTGGAGGTGTGTGTAAGAGCAGCGGTTCTTGGAATCCCTGGGATCCCTGGGTGGCTCAGCAGTTGGGTGCCTGCCTTTGGCCCAGGGCCTGATCCTGGAGTCCCGGGATCAAGTCCCACATTGGGCTCCCTGTGTGGAGCCTGCTTCTCCCTCTGCCTGTGTCTCTGCCCCTCTCTTTCTCTGTGTCTTTCATGAATAAATAAATAAAATCTTAAAAAAAGAAAAAAAAAAGAGCCGTGGTTCTGCTGCTGTGACCTGGCTGTGAATCATCTAGGGGCAGAGATACGAAATGTTAGCATCAGGGGACGGTATTTCTTTTAGGTATTTATTTCTTTCACATCTTTGCTCTATTATATCTTCTGACTTGTTTCCTAGGGCTGATTCTCTTTGTATAAAGATGTGTGTTTGAGAGAAAGAGAGGGAGGGAGAGAGGGAGGGAGAGCGAGAGGGAGGGAGAGCGAGAGGGACTGCAGGAGCCTGGCACACGTGTCTGTCATCATCAAGCAGGCCAGCTAAGCGCGTTTTCACAGCACCAGGGTAGGAGTCCAGAAAAGAGCGGGGACCGAGGTATGCAAGACCCTTTGAGGCCAAGGCTTTAGACTGGTACAACGTCCCCTCCACCTCATTCTGCTGGCCAAGGTGAGGTACAAAGCCGGCACAGATTCAGGGGCTGGGGAAACAGACTCGGCGGGAGCAGGTGCGAGTCCTGGGGTGAGGGGCAGGTCTTCAGGGCAGGGTGGGAAATGGTGGTCATCTTTCAATCTGCAGAGGAATTTTGTCCATGAATGTATTGCTCTTTGAAGGTGAATAATATTTTAAAAATCCTTATGCTGAACTTTAAGAGAGTTCATTTGCTCAACTGTTAAACTTTCACAAGCTTGCCATTCTGACAGTCCCAGCGTGGCCTATGAGATCAATCCATATTTCTGGTGGTGATGTAGCGCTCAGCGCCCGTGGCCCTTCTGTGACGCGGACTCAAGGGTATAAAGGAAGCAGCATTTCAGTTGCTTCTCTGCCAGGGGTAATGTCCATATGGCCTTTTGAATCCTTGCTCTGCACAGACCAACAAAGGAAACCACAACTGTTTTTTTCCACCTCAGTTTTCCATTGCCATCTTTCAAAGATTTGCTTTCTTTTCACTTTTATCTGTCTTTTACAGAAGCATCAGGGAGCTAGTTGGCTGGAGGGGTTTTCTGTTTTCTCCTGTGTTATGTAATGAAGCCTGGATATTTGTCTTAGGATCTTCCCCTCTTATATTGACCAGGAAAAAAAAAAAAAAAGAGAGAGAGAGAGAGAGAGAGAGAGAGAGAGAGAGACTGCATTTCATTCAGTGCCTTATTTATCAGTTCTCCATTGATAACTGCACATCTCTTCCTTTTATGTTTCCATGTTCTTATTTTCAAACTTATCTGGAATGTTCTCTGGTTTCACATCTAATTGTTTATGAATCACAAGAAAAGTCTGAATTTTTCTAAAACAGTGTCCTTTTGTCCGTATGATTATCCCTCGATAGCTCATAAAACCTTAGACCCCAACTGATTCCTTAGACCTGTGTTTTCCCACTTCCCTCCACAAGTCCTGTGCAGCAGCACCCCCCTCCGTGGTTTCTCTGTAGATCCCTCATAATACAATTTTAATATTTTCAACCTAAAGGCTTCCATTATTGATTTCTGCCATCCGTATGAGTTATCTTTCTGGAAGTCTTATACTTTAATATGAATAGTTCCTCCATTTAAATTAAAAGGAGTAATTTATACAAAACATTTTGCACCTAGTAAGATCTCAGTAAATGTTATCTATTACTATAAATGCTTCTGTTACTACACTTACTATTGCTAATTTATTTTAAAGCAAACCATATGCCTTTTCCCCCTATTGAATTTACATTAAGCTATATGAGGAACCACCTAGACAATATGAGAATGTATGTTATAATTTGAATATGATTTTTCTTTGGAAATTTTCTGGCAACTGAAATTTACTATCACTTATTTTAAGAACGGCCTCAGTGTTTGATAATCATGCTAAACTAGAATCACTCCCTCAGCACGTGGGGTTGGCCCTTTTGCCTGGGTGTGTTAGTAAAAGCGAATTTATGTGGTCCCGAGGCTGGGTCCATATAGCTGATCTTGGGGTCCTCACGGCACACTTACGGACATACTGTTAGTAGATTATGGTGTTTTCTTGCGTTGCTTTCCTAGACATCAGTAATCTTACAGGCACCTTCGAGTTCTTCACCTTAGTTACCTCCTGTCATGACAGACAGGTGTTTTCTGAGGGAACTGCTTGTATAACTGCCCACACCTCGCTGTCCTGTGTACGGCGGAAACTTTAGTAGGGATTCCTGACTTCCTAAATCACTGTGTCAATATCATAGGGTTTTCTAAGAGACTTTCTCTTACCTCCTACCTCGGGTTTTATCTACGCCCCCGGACGACAACTATCCATGTGGCCTCGAGTCTCCCTCTCAATATACACACAGGAGGTGCTATGGGATGAGCTGTGTCCAGCGCCCTCATCCTCCCAGAAAAAGAGAGGGGTTGGGGTCCTAGCCTCCAGAACCTCAGGAAGTGGCCTTACTCTGGAGACAGGGTCTTCACAGAGGTGAACAAGTCAAAATGAAGTCATTAAGATGGGCGCTGACCGGGCAGGGCCAGTGTTTGTCCCTACAAGGGATATTTGGGCGGACAGGGACAGATAGCAGGAAGGAGAAGGGACACGGGGTAGGGAGCCATCTGCAAGCCCAGGAGAGAGGCCTGGACTAGGTCCCACGCGCGCAGCCCGCGGAAGGAACCGGGGCGGCCACACCTTCGCTCTGGCTTCCACCTCCAGAGGGGAGATCGCCAGTCGCCGCTTGCTGCAGCTCGGCGTGGCGCTCCACAGCCCAGGCAGCCCAGGCCCGGCGGCCCCGGACGGGGCGACTTGCGCGCGGACGTCTGAGCTCGCCTCTGCTGCTTCTAAGGAAACCCGAGTTTTCACTTGCTGGAGCATTGTGTTCCTGGAATAAACTTTTCAAACTTGTTTTGTTTTATATAACCATGATGTGGTGACTGGAGACCTACATTCGACTGGGAAGAGCGAACCGGAGCATGTGCCGGACGCGCGCAGCAGGACGCACTCGTCACCTGTAAGTGGACCTCTGGCTCCCACCCGCGGTCACGGGGGCGGGCGAGGAACCACTGCTGGAGACGCTCCCTCGCTGGTCGGGAGGGGCGGGCGGCGGGAGGGGACACGGGGTGCGCGTGGGGCGCCCGCAGGCACCGGCTCGGGAGGGTGGGGACCGCCGCGCGGCAGGAGGACGCACGAACCTGGTTGGTACGCGAGCTTCCCCAGACCCACCCAGCCGCCCACCCTTCCCGAGCTCGGGGCGGCCGGGGGAGCGGAGGGCGCCGCCCGAGCAGCGGCCGCTCCCGGGGGACACGCGGGGCGGGGCGGGACCTGCAGGTGCAGGGGCGGGGCCGGGGGGGGGAGCTGCGCGGCAGGTGCCCGGGCCCGACCCCACGCTCTGCCCTGCACCCCCCTCCCCGCGCGATGCCGGGTGCGGGCGCCCAGCCGGGGGTGGGGGGCGAGCCCAGCGCCCCGGAAGGCGGAGCGAGCACCCGAGCCCGGGGGCGCCAACAAGTAGTTTGCGGTCGGGGGCGGCTCCCCCGGCGGGAGGCAGGGGCGACCTGGGGGCGGCGCGCGGACCTGCAGGCCCCCCCCGGGTGCGCGGGGGGCGCGCGGGGTGAGCCGGGGCGGGGGGCCCGGTGTCCGGGGGGGCGGGGGGCGGGGTCCCGCGGCTCCCGGGGGGCCTCGCCCTGTCCGGGAGCGACCCCGCGCCCCGGCCCCCGGCGCCCGCCCCCCGCGGCCGTGTGTCTGGCGGAGGGGGATGGGGAGGGGGGCGCTGGCGCTCGTCCGCCCAGACGCGGAGCCTGCTTAGCGATTCCCTTTCCCAAGTAATAATAACATCAACAACAGCAGCGGCAGCCACGGTAGTGATGTGCGGAGGAAATTGGATCAGGAAATTAGTCACGGTCTCCCTGGTGAGAGGCCGCGGCGGGGAGGTTCGGTGCTTGGCCTCGGGCGGGGGGTGTCGCCGGGTCGTGGGGGCGCGGGGCGCCGCCGGCCGTGCGGGTCGGGGTCCGGGTCGGGGTCCGCGCATCGGCGCCCAGCGGGCCGAGGGGCCAGCAGAGACTCCCCGCCCAAGGGGCTGCCCCGGGCCGGGAGGGTACGGGGTCGGGGGGAGTGGGCGGCAAGGGGGGCGTGAGGGTTGGGGGGCAGGGCTGTGCGCCGAGGGCAGGGTTCCCGTGCTCGGGACCGCGCGGGGGTGGTGGTGCGGAGAGCCGTATGGGGCCGGAGCAGGTGTCGGGGCGGGATCCGGGGCTTTCCGGGGGTCGGGGGTCCCGGGTGGGGGGTCCGGGACGGGGACCCGCCGTGCGCGCGTGCTCCGGGGCGGCTCGGCTGTGCCCGCGCGCGTGCGGCCGGGGACCGGGACCGGGACGGAGACCCGGACGGGGCGGGGGAGGGCGGGGGAGGGCGGGGGGAGGGCCGCGGAGGGCGGCTGCGGCTCCGCGGCCGCCCGGGCCCTAACGCGGCGCTGTGTTCGCCTCCCCAGTCATGTCTGAGCCACAGAGATGGGCAAGATCGAGAGCAACGAGAGGGTGATCCTCAATGTCGGGGGCACCCGGCACGAGACCTACCGCAGCACCCTCCGGACCCTGCCCGGCACGCGCCTGGCCCTGCTCGCCGCCTCCGAGCCTGCGGGCGACTGCCTGACGGCGGCCGGCGCCCCCCCGCCCCCGCCGCCCCCGCCCCCGCCGCGGCCCCTGTCCCCCGGGCCCGGCCCCTGCAGCCCGCGGGGCGCCGGCGGGGGCGGGGGCGGGGGGGGTCGCGAGTTCTTCTTCGACCGGCACCCGGGCGTGTTCGCCTATGTGCTCAACTACTACCGCACCGGCAAGCTGCACTGCCCGGCCGACGTGTGCGGGCCTCTCTTCGAGGAGGAGCTGGCCTTCTGGGGCATCGACGAGACGGACGTGGAGCCCTGCTGCTGGATGACCTACCGGCAGCACCGCGACGCCGAGGAGGCGCTCGACATCTTCGAGACGCCCGACCTCCTAGGCGGCGACCCCGGCGACGACGACGACCTGGCGGCCAAGAGGCTGGGCATCGAGGACGCCGCGGGCCTGGGGGGCCCCGACGGCAAGTCCGGCCGCTGGCGGAGGCTGCAGCCCCGCGTGTGGGCGCTCTTCGAGGACCCCTACTCGTCCAGAGCCGCCAGGGTAAGGCCACGGCCGGCGCCCCTCCGTGGCGGCACGGCCCCCGATCCGCCCCTGCGGCCTTGGGACGCTGGGGGGGGGGGGAGCAGGGCCCCGGGGTGGGGGCCGGCGGGACCCGGGGCCTGCGCCTCCCCGCCCCACGCACCTGACACCCACTCCAGCAGGTGGCACCTCCCCGCCCCAAGCACCTGACATCCCCTTCAGTGGGTGGCACCTCCCCTCCCCACGCACCTGACATCCACTCCAGCGGGTGGCACCTCCCTGCCTCACGCACCTGACATCCCCTTCAGTGGGTGGCACCTCCCCTCCCCATGCACCTGACACCCACTCCAGCAGGCGGCACCTCCCCAGCCCCACTCCAGCAGGTGGCACCTTCTCTCCCCACGCACCTGACATCCACTCCAGCGGGTGGCACCTCCCTGCCTCACGCACCTGACATCCCCTTCAGTGGGTGGCACCTCCCCTCCCCATGCACCTGACACCCACTCCAGCAGGCGGCACCTCCCCAGCCCCACTCCAGCAGGTGGCACCTCCCCTCCCCAGGCACCTGACATCCACTCCACTCCAGCAGGTGGCACCTCCCCTGCCCCACACACCTGACATCCACTCCAGCAGTGGCATCTCCTCTCTCCAAGCACCCGACATCCACTCCACTGCAGCAGGTGGCACCTCCCCTGCCCCACGCACATGACATCCACTCTAGCACGTGGCACCTCCCCTACCCCACGCACCTGACATCCCTTTTAGCAGGTGGCACCTCCCCTGCCCCACACACCTGACATCCCCTTTAGCAGGTGGCACCTGAAGGGCCAATGCCAGGTCTGTCTGGAGCTTTGTCCCCACACAGCTGTCGCGCTTCGCCGGGTTCTTTATTTCCTGACTCTTTTGTTCCAACTTTTCCTTAGTTTGGATGCTTCTTTGGGCCTTCTGTTCCCCACGGTTTGCCAGGGAGGCCTGCCGCACTTGCCCATCTGACTCAAAGCAGCGGCTCCAGTTAGGGACCTAACGTGAGGCCAGGTCGGGAAGTGGAACCTAGTCCTGGCTGGGGCTCCCTGGAGGGCGTCTCCTGAATGCTGTGGGGGCCAGTCTCCCCCCAAGGGACAAGAATTCTGAATGGCTTGGCCCCGTGAGGTGGCCACACAGCGCCCCTGCACGTTGAGTTTTGGAGTCTGGCCCTTGCCCCCTTGGGCTCTGTTCATGTTTCTTACAGGTTGGATGTGGGTTGGTCACTTGGGTGATGCTACTTTAGTCCAGTTGTCTAAATCTGGGTAACATAGACTGTGGCAAACTTTATTTGACTCTTTAGATTGCCACTCCATCCTCAGTTTTTCTTTTCAGTTTCTAGCTTGAATGACAGTTTAAATCGAGTCCTTGGCACTCCCAATTAATTCTTCAGAATCCCATGAAGGGACTATAAAGGTAACCAATAATAGTTTCTCCAGTTTAAAGGAAATAAAAGGAATATAAATAACCAAAAATTATATAGTATGTGAAAGTGTTTTTAAATGATGCACAGGAAGGGAGTACTGTATTTAGTTAAATCTTTGCAACTGTGTGTGTCTGGTTTGCTTCTGATGCCCAGAAGAACTACCCCCCAGGCAGCTTCACTTGGGCTCCATCCTCGTTATTGTCTTCTGTATGTCAGCAGCCGCTGCCTCTGGGGTGTTGTGCAGCTGTCTATCTGATAACGTGTCAGAAGATGTGTTTCTGATACCACTTTAGAATTCTGAGGCTATGTTTTGTTTTCAGTTTGAAATAGAATATGAAAGAGACCATTTCAAGCATTGCTCCTCTATTGGATCTGGCGTTTGGATGCATACATACATTTTACTATGTCCACATTATGGCACTCAAATATAGGATTGGTAACTTCAACTCCGAAATCTTCCTTTTAGGGCTGTTCTATAAATTCTACAACAGTTGGATTTAAAACAAAAACAAAAACCAGTGCGTATTTACTTGAGTCACAGACTCATGACCATTACATCTGTGTTTTTTTTTTTTTTCAATTCCAGCTGAGTGCCACAGTGCTCTTTCCACTTGGTGGCTAAAAAGATAACCTGAATTTGTTTTCAGCCTCATCATGTGATTTCCTCCCCCCCCAGATTACGTGCTACAAAAGAGGGAGAATGTTTTATTATCTTTACCCGTGATAATATAATACATTTTATTGTAGGCTGCATTGCCTAGCAAAAACTCTAAGACGGTATTCAATTTTTATTATCGCTGTGGAAATTGATTTTTATTGATTATTGGTCAAAGGGTAAACTATTAATTTGAAAATAGTTTTTAAAAATCTTACTAAGATTTCATTGTAACAATATTAAAGGTTTGATATGCATCCATTTCAGGTGAGGAAAGAACACAGATGTATTAGAGATTACCACAAGGTCAAAGAGCCATTAGAAGCAGAATCAGCTGAGAATCACAGACCTGGAAAATTTCCTTGAGGTCCCTTCATGAATACCCTTTATTTTATAGATGAAGAAAATGAAGACTGCAGATGCTAAGTGATGGCCAAGGTCATACAGCAAGTTAATAGCAGATCCAAAATTATGATGGAGGTCTCATGACATCCTTCCCAGGCCCTTTTTGCCCCAACCACTGATTATAACTGACTGGCTTATGAAATCTCCATGGATCATGTTACTCTTGAGAGTTAATGCAGCATAAGACATAGAATTCTAATTCTGAAAGGTCATCTATGACTTTAAAAAAAAATTTTGTATTCCGGGACTTTGGTAGAATTTTTACCCTGTACAACCCAACATTAGAGTGAAGATATAGAATTCAAATTGACTTCTTCAATCCTCTTTGAACTTTCCATTTTTATTGACCTGTTATATGTAGTGTTTTTCTTTCTTTCAGACTGACTAACATTTGTAGGACTTGTCTTCAGGGAAATCCCTTTTCAAATTATTAGGGGTTGCCTAAGAAAGAGTAATGAGAGGTTGTCATTCTACTTAAATGTGATTTAATATTTTTATAGGAAACCTTTTAGTTCCGATGATAGCCTGACTTAATGTTATCTGGCCCATCTGATAAATAGAATTACATCGAGAGGTAAAAAAAAATTATATTTTGTGTGGATACAGTCCTAGAAGGCATAAGTCAGTTACCAGGTAGTTTGCTTCAGCTGTGGTCTTACTGCCACAGTCTCATTCTTAATAGAAGTTAAGTATTTAACTTTTATAAACCTTCTTTACACTAGTTCATCTTTTATTGATATGCTCGAGATGAACGTTTGTAACTGCCCGAATTCCTTTTTCAATTTGTTATTACCTGTCATCATCATCTTTATCTTTTCCCAGTATTGAGGAGATTGGTTCAATTATAGAGCAGAAGCGCTTTATTTCTAACTTTTATGATCTTTAGTGCCAGACTGAAACAACAGTGATAGCACAATTAATTGTCCTAACATTGTATTTTTGCTTTCTGTTTTGGTTGGCATTTCCCTCCTTTGTTGCTTTAAATTTATGATGTAAATGCGTATTTGAAAAGTCCAAATTATTCCGGTTAACTTGGTAAATGGGTTTGTATTTTGTACTTAAATGAATTCTTATCCTTAAGAATAGTATTCCAAAATAGAAATTTATAAAAAATTGAATATAAGTTGTCATGGAAACCTGTCCTGGAGAAAATGAGATCAGGAAAGAAAAGGAGAGATTATACTGTTGATGCCGTTGAGTGGTATTTACAAATAGCCAAAATCAAGGATGCACGGATGTGTTTGTGAAAATGTTATGCATTGTATCTTTCCAGTTTAATATTTAAGTGGAAAAGGGAAATGAAGCTTGTATGTGCTTTCTTTGGAAAACATTAACTTGTAGGTAAGTGAACAGGCGCCAGGCAGAAATTTTTTGATAGAACTTCTAGATTATTTAGAAGTAAAAAAAAGAAAAGGATAAGGGCAAAATACTAGAATCAAAATATTTTAAATAATTTGTTCCCAATATTAAGAGCTGAGAGCAGTTAGAAGTTTGTCCTTATCCCTCTTCCTTTTCTCATTTTTTTTGGGGGGGTGAGTGAAGGTGGTTGAATTAGGTTTACAGGGTGGCTCTTCTTTGGGGACTTGTCTATCTTTGGTTAGCTGAGAAAACTTTTTTTTTTTACTTTCAAAGAGCATCTTATTTATTTATTTATTTAATTTAAAAAATTATTTATTTATTCATGAGAGACAGAGAGAGAGAGAGGCAGAGACACAGGCAGAGGGAGAAGCAGGCTCCATGCAGGGAGCCTGACGTGGGACTTGATCCCAGGACCCCAGGATCAGGCCCCGGGCTGAAGGCAGCGCTAAACTGCTGAGCCACCCGGGCTGCCCTATTTACATTTTTTAAAAAGAGATTTTATTTATTTACCTGAGACACAGAGAGAGAGGGAGGGAGAAAGAGAATCTGAGGCAGAGTCCCTGCTGAGCTTGGAGCCCTAGGGGGCTGGGCCCCATGACCTGATGCCACTACTGCAAGGTCACGACCTGAGCTGAAACCCAGTCGGACAATCAACCTACTGAGCTACTCAGGTGCCCCAGACAGCAAATAACTGTTATGGAGCCACATCGGGCTCCCTGCATGGAGCCTGCTTCTCCCTCTGCCTGTGTCTCTGCCTCTCTCTCTGTCTCTAATAAATAAATAAAATCTTAAAAAAATAAATAACTCTTTGCTAGCTTTAAGTGTATCATTTAACTTAAAAAAATATAATAAAGTAAGGACCGTTGAGTTGTATTTTAAGATTACAGAAAAAACTATTAATTTTTCTTTTGTAAGTTTTGCTTCAATTCAAAGAATTATTGACCAAATACAGCTTGTTCATATAATATTGTTGCCAATTATTATAATTTTTAGAATATTTACTTAGCAAATATTGCTTATTCAGGCCCTCAACTATGGAAGTACCTGGGAATGCATGGAGAAGATACAGTTTTTGCCCTCAGTAAGCTCACCACCCTATTTATAATAAAACATTTCCTAAAAACATTGTCTATTAAATTAAGAAGTGCAAAAAAA